AAACTGGAAGACGCTATTTTATTTCTTATTCCCTTTTCTTTCTTCCCTCCTTCCATTGCTTGTCCGTTCTCGTCTGTCGTCTGGAAGTCGTTTTCATTCTCGTCGCGTGATCTCGTTCCACGTTTGTACGTAATTACGCTTCTCTCGAACGAGTTTCGGCTTTCGCTTTTCGTCCCTTTTGTCTCTTCGCGCGCTTTCTTCTCTCACGGTTCGTGGTGCATCGTCTGATCAGATACCGGGATATTCTACTGGATTTCCATAAATACTCTCCGCCTACTCATCCTTTCGATTACCTTCCGTTCGTCTCATTTGCCCGTTCATTTTACCTGTCTAATTTGCTCCAACTTCCAACGAAAGGCTCGTTATTAATTTCTTTTGTCCAAGAAACCCCGACAATTTTATTTTTCCTTGCAACTAAGGAAGTATTTACAGTTGCCCGGTGCACGATATCTATGAACAATTAACGCTAGAACTAGCTACGTATATTTTACATAAATCGAGATAATTCTAGTGGCACGTGGGAGACGAACAACTATAAAAGAATTCTTCCAATCCGAATAGAAGTTAAGCGTAATTTTGTCAAAAGACACGAAATATACGAAATAGGTTATCCTAACTCCATCGATAGTTTTAGCGTTAAATACAGAAAGTAGAATAAAATTGAAACGGGAGCAAGTAGAGACCTCGTCCGACCATGCACCGAGTTGTTCTACTGGAATCTTGTAAATACATTCTATGGTAACTCTGCCAAAACCATTATTCAAGAAAACCGGTTACGATTTCATTTTCTGAACAGTTCGTCCTCTCCTTTTTTTTTTATTATTTACAAGATCAATATTCTCTCTTACAACAGAAAAAGCACGACCCTTGTCTCTTGGTGGGAGAAAAGCATTTATATTCATCCGGCGTAGAATATCCTGAAAGTCTTTTGAGCTTCTTTTTCTTCTTCTTTTTCTTCTCCATCTTCCTCCTTTCGGTTATTCCACGTAGAAAAAAAGCGTAGAAGGTGAAGAGGAAGAACAGGCGAAAACAGGTTAGTTTTCTCGCAACGATGCCGGGACGGTATACGGGGACTGTTACACTGTTCATTTTCAGACGCGGGTTCGCTCGTTCGTTTCGATCGGGTGAGTTGTTTCGGGGATAGAAAAAGTGACGACGAACATCAACATGAAAACGTTAACGATCGCGACGACGTGGAAAACAAAGGTGTTGTCGTCGCGTTTCTGTTCGAATTTCGCGCCACGCTTGTCTCGAGGAACGAGCTACCATCGCGACTCGTGTTCCGCTCTATTTCGATTGTCCGTTTAACACCAAACCTGCAACCGCTAGATGACAGTTCGCTCTATGATCGATATGGCAAGTTAAAATGTATATAACAACCATGATCGTCGGCACGTGTATGACAGTTCGCTCTATGATCGATATGGCAAGTTAAAATGTATATAACAACCATGATCGTCGGCACATGTATATATATATATAGATTAACAAACTAATTACGAAGAAAGGCGATAAAGCGGAATAACGAAAGCGATGACAAAGTAGAGAAGTTTCAGCGAACAGTTTGAAAACGGTCATTTAGGTCGTGCTAAATTTAATGTTAAACCCGTGGTTGTAAAAAGATCGTGGTTCATTTATTAATTGGCCCGCGGGACACACGATCCCGTACTTATCAGCGAATAAATGGCCGAAAGGAAATCTTGCATCTGGGAGAAAAATTATGCGATTTAATCAAATGCTGATAAAAGCGTTAATTAAACGACTCGTTGCATTTTGCCTTACAACCACAGAAATATCGCGCCCCACTGGTCGAGTCTCTCGTAACCCCGTTCCCTTCGGCAATGACGCGTGCGCGGTCGCGTGAATTGTACGATGATCGATAGATCACGCCGGGTAAATGGCGAGAATTGTGCGGCCTTCGATCAAGATGACTCGAGTTTCTCTTCCGGACCGTTCTGATGTTTCGATGAGCGCACCACCGTGTGTGTGCATCGTGCGTTACCATTGTTACTGTAACGGCTTAATACCCGATATACGTATTATCCATCGTTATTTAAACCGCTGATAGATAACGATTAGTCGTAATAAGAAAATCTGGCGATATGATAGGTAGATCGGTCTGGTCGCTGCCACGTATAAAACTCGTTGAGTCGTCGGTTCCGATTCTCGTTCCACCCTTCCGGTGGAGTCGCGAGAATCGTTGGAATGCAAAAGGTTCGCGCGGAAATGAAGAGTCACCAAGGTTCACGAGCAATTGACGAGTTCCCATTTTTCTCCATTTGCCTCGATAATTGTCGGTTTATGGCACAGTTCGTTTCGGTAAATAAAACCGTGAACCGAAGTTGCTCGACGGGGGTGGTCAAAGTGTGTGCGTGGGTGTGTGTGTGTGTGTATGTGTGTACGTGTGTAGCAGAAAAATAGTTTTATACGTCGCAACATGCAATTTGGCTCCGCGATCTCTCCCCATGTCCTATTCGGTGCTACGATGATACTCGAATCTTCGATAACTTTCATTTCTCCCCCCCTTTAATTTTGATTTCCAACGCGCATCGATCTCGAGCTTTTGATTCTTTTCTTCTTCTCCTCCCTAATTTCGATAGGTTTCTCAGGATAGGTTCCATGGGTCGCGCTTCGATCGTGTCACTCTTGGCTTCGAAAAGAGGAATATCCATAATTTTAAAAGGGTATCTGCGTCACCTTTAAAAAAATATGTACATGTGCGTTTTTGATTTTCGGTCTTGATACACCTTTAGAATCGTGGAATTTTTCATACGAACGTTGATAAGGAAAGGAAAACGGAATATATATCGGAGTAACTGAAAATTTCCCAGAGTATACTGTAGCTCCGATTGTTGGAATTCGCGGTAATTACGAAAGCCGTAATTTACTCGGTTCCGAGCGAACGCGAATACGCAAGCACGCGATCCTAGCGGGGGAAATCGATATTCGAACGATTCGAAAATTTTGTTAAGGTTAGAACATGGCGTTTTTCACTCGTCCTCGCGTTCAGCGACGATATATTCGAGCGATGTCTGACTCGGTGCGCGAAAGGGCCCGAGTTGCTGCTTCGGTAACAGCGTAGCACCGGACGTGGTCGTTATCGGGAGAGATATAGTCTTTTGGCACGAAAAACCTTGGCCGTAAACGTCGTTCTTCGAGCCAGATCACGGCGATCCGACGACGCTAGGGAACCTGTACGTTTCGCGGCGTGAAAACGGGGCCTGAAAACGGCGGTTCGTGTAAAAAGTGTGTCCGTGGACAAAGAAAACGCTCCTTCGTCCTCTCTCGGCTCGGATCGGCGCGAACTGGCAGTGATAGGTACTTAAATAATGCGTTTACACGATGTCGTTAATCCTATGTTTCTCATATTCACACACGCTCACGTGACGCATTCTCTGTCGCACTCTCTCGTTCGCTTTCATCATCGCACACCTCTCGATAAACGTCTATACGTATGTATATTTATATTTATATTTTGTATATATACAAATATAAATATATATATTTATACGTATGTATATATTTATATTTATATATACGTATATATATATTTATCACACACGCAGTACTCACGCATCGATGTGATTATACATCATTTCGTCAGTTAAAAAACGTATCGCGGCTCCAGTGCTGTTTTTCTCTTTTTATTTTTCTTTTCTTTTTTTTTTTTTCTTTTTTCGTTTCTTTCCTTTTATTCTTTTTCTCTCTTGCTTATCTGCTTAATCTCCTTACGCAACGAATCATCCGTTCTCGCGAGATCCACAAAATAGTTTGCACCGGTGTACACAATGATCTGTAACGAACCGTAATTCGTAATAAAAACTTAGCTGTCGCGGTAATAGTAATCAGAGTAATGATAATTAATAATAGTAGTGTCACGTCGCGGTCGACCTCTCCCTCTTCTTCCACGCGGCTCTTACGAGCCTCTTCACCCGTTTTCTTCCCATTTTCTTGCGCAGTCGGCGCGCGTAGTCCGCGCTTCTTCGTCCTCCGCGAGGTGCTTCCCTTCCACGGTCGACCAGCGCGCCCTTTTCCTCGCGAAATACATGTATGCATATACATATCGTCTCGTGTCTCGCGTGTGTACGGGGCTCTCTCACGGAAATGGCAGTTGAGTGTGTTAGTTCGAGCTGCTGGTTGCACATGCACCCACCCCAGGACCATCGAATTCTACTATCGAATTTCGCGACCTGTTCTCGTCGCCGGTAAGCCGGTCGTACGCGCTGTCCTCGTTATTCTCTACACCTTTGATTCGCCTCGTTTGATTCCATTACAACGTAATATACACAATGTACAAAGCACGACCGACCGCGAGGATCCGCGTCGGGGCGAGGCCGAGTATCCGGGATCCTCGCAGATCCGCCGTGACTCGCGCGGCTCCTCTGCGTTCCGCTCGAACGACCCCTAGGACCGCTTCCGGTTCCGCTCCCTCCACCGGCTCCGATCCTCCAACGCGTCGTCGACCGGTCACGAATCACGCGTGGCAGTACGATTCGAGGAACTTGAAACGCGAACGACAGGGACGAACCTTGGAGCCTTGAATCCTGACCCCGGAGCACTCGGGTCGCGGGACCGATCGCGGTCCAAGATGGCGCCGAGAAATCGAGCGTCGCGTAGATTCGACTAGCGGCAAACGCGTTTGCGCGGGATTTTTGCTGGATGTTTGGATGTTTCGGGGCTGTGCCGGTCGTCGGGGACGACGAGCTTCCTGGCAAGCCCCGGCGGGACAGGAGCTTCCGTGCTCGTGCTGTGTTTCGTTTACGTGATGTATTCGGGTTTGTAGTCGCCGGGACGGCCAGACCAGACGCGCGGCGAAGCCGGTGTCCAGGGCACCGCGACGTCTAGCATCGTGATGCTCGGCCTACGCAGGAACGGCGAGAACCTCGATTTCTTCGGGCTCTTCGGCGGCGATTCCGCGAAGGTGACGCTTCTTCGGGGCGGTCTTCTGGGCGGCGGCGGCGGCGGCGGCGGAGGCAAGGCCGCCATCAACGGCGGCGGTGGAGGCGTGGGCAGGGAGATGGCGGGCGACTCACCTGGGCTGTCCAGGTAATTTACACCTGGGTATGCGTATTGCTGTGCACCTGGTCGCCCTCGGTATTGCCAATCGCGTTTGCCGGAGCGTAGTACTGCAAATCCAATGGTCGCGCGTTAGGTGTACGGGGGCTTTCGACAGGGTGCTGGAAGGGGGCGAATATTTCGCTTCGTCGTGCTCTTCGTCAACTGCGGATGTTTATGCTACCGTGTGTTTCCTTCCCAGTGCAACTTGCACGTTCCAGTTCGTATTTCAAGCTTTCGGGTTCCTCTTTACGCCTCGTACTTTCGAATTTCCTCGCTTATCAAGTTAGCCGCTGCTATCCCCGAAGAGTATCGCGCGCTAGCCGAAAGCTTGAAATACGAGCTCGTATCATTTTTGTGCGGGAGATTGGTGATAGGTGAGAGGGGGTTGAGGGTCGTTTCGAATTGGTTTCGCTTAGAATAGTGGGAGGTTTCAAACATGGACGATTATAGAGAACAATGATGCGATGTCGATGAAATGAGAAACCTTACATCCATTACGTTGTAACGATAATAAAAACAGCAGTAATATTTATTCACATTTAAAATATCCTTTGTTTACAGTAAATTGATAAGCCAGAAAATTTGCATCCATCTGCACCGTAAAACGAAGCTGTTAAAATCCACGTTGTACTCTTTC